CGGGACTGGGATACCGGCTGGGGGGGCAACTGGGGGGTACTGGGAGGGGGACTGGGGGACTGGTCGGGGGGGGACAACTGGGAGACACCGAGAAGGGAAACCGGGAACCAGTCAGGTGGGCAACCGGTAAACCCCGGGGAACAATGGGCGGGGCAGGGGGGCACCGGGCAGGGGGGCAACTGGGAGGCACCGGGGGCGGGACTGGGACACCAGTGCTGGGGGCAACTGGGGCACACTGGGCGGGGGCCCGAACCCGGGACGAGACCACCGCGGAGGGGGTTTGGGGGGGGGCGCATCTCCCCGGTTCCGCTTTGTACCTGACCGGCTCGATCCCGAACTCCTCCGCCTTGATGAGCTTCCAGGAGCCGGCGAGGAACTCCCGGCACCAGGCGTAGGCCTGCAGGCGGGTGGCGTCGGGGACGGCCCCGTCCTCGCTCTCGGTCCCCCGGCCCCCCTTGGCCGCCATGGTCGCCCCCGCCCTGTCCCGCTGGGCCGAGGGGCGGTGGCAGCGGGGAAGGGGCGGGGCAAGAGCCGCCTTCTGACCAATAGCAACGCGTCAGCTCAGATTGACGGTTCGCCCAGCCAATAGACCTCTCGGCCGGGGAGGCCTATATAAGGCGCGCAGCCAATGGGCGCGCTCGGCGGGATGCGGCGGAACGTGGAGGTGAAGGCGCGGGTGCGGGCGCTGGCGGAAGCGCGCGGGGCGGCCGAGCGGCTGCTGCGGGCCGGCCCAGGTGAGCCGGGCCCAGGTGAGCCGGGCCCAGGTGAGCCGGGCCCAGGTGAGCCGGGCCCAGGTGAGCCGGGCACTGGTGAGGGGCACGCCCAGGGCACAGGTGACGGGCACGCCCAGGGCACGGGTCCGGGGCAGCTGCTCGTCCAGGCCGACACGTTCTTCCGCGTGCCGCGGGGCCGGCTCAAGCTGCGGCGGACACAGGTGAAGGGCGGGGTGAGGGGTGAGGGAGGGCTGGGCTTGATCCTGCTCCTGCCCCTACCTGGCCCTGACCCTGCACGACCCTGTCCTTGCTTGCCCCTCGTCCTACCCGACCCTGTCCCTGCTTGATGCCCCGCCTGGCTCTGTCCCTGCCCCTGCCACCACCCGGCTCTTCTCCCCCCTGTCCCCACCCCTGCCTGCCCCTGCCCTGAGTGACGCTGACCCTGCCTGACCCTGCTTCTACCTGGCCCCGACCCTGTGTGTGTCACCCTGGCCCTGACCCTGGCCCTACCTGACCCTGTCCCTATCTGTCCCTTACCTTTCCCTGACCCTGC